GCTAGTGTAAAATCAAAAATAAAAATAGTTAATGGTAATAAAAAAAAAAAAATAATAATTATATATGTGTATATATGATATATAGACATATATTATATCTATATAATATATGTCTATATATCATATATATATATATAATGTCATACTAAGTGTATTTTTATATTAATATGTACTTATATTAATATAAAATACACTTATAATTAAATTACACACGTATATATATAATATATATAATAACTATATATATTGTATATATATATTATTATAAAATATAAATAATAAGTAATTTAAATTAAATAATTTTTTTAAATAATAATAAAAATTTAAAAAAAAATTATATATCTATATGAAATTTTATTCTAACTGTATTTTAAAATTAATATATATATATTTATATCAAAATACACTTAGAATGAATTTGTATATATATCTATGTATATAAAAATAAATAAAAATAATAAGAAATATACATACGTCCATATACAAAATTACATAAATAATTATATAGATATACACGTAGACTTCAAATATATAAATATGCATATATATTTAAATTCTACGTGCGTATTTATGTAATATTTTTACATAATTCAGTAATTTTATTGATTGCAATTTGAGGGACCTGCCTGCCAACCCAGGCCGAAATTCCAGAGAATTTAATTTGTTAGCACTGTATTTTACCCTGTAACGTTCTACGACACCCTAAAACCTGTACATGGGGGGTACTGTTTTACTCGGGAGACTTCGCTGAACACAAATATTAGTGATTCAAAACAGTAAAACATATCACAGCGATGATATTGTCAGTGAAAGTTACTTTTTTTGCATTTTTCACACACAAACAGCACCTTTACTGATGATATAATTGTTGTGATACGTTTTCCAGTTTTTAAACACTAATATCTGTGTTCAGCGATGTCTCCCGAGTAAAACAGTACCCCCCATGTACAGGTTTTATAGCATTTTTGAAAGTTACAAGGTCAAATATATGGGTCAAATATTTTTACATTGAAAATGGCCAGGTTGGTTACGTTGCCTTTGAGAGCGTATGGTAGCCCAGGAATGAGAATTACCCCCATGATGGCATATCATTTGCAAAAGAAGACAACCCAAGGTATTGCAAATGGGGTATGTCCAGTCTTTTTTAGTAATCACTTGGTCACAAACACTGGCCAAAATTAGCGTTCAATTTAGTTTTTTTACTTTTTTCACACACAAACAAATATGAATGCTTACTTTGGCCAGTGTTTTCGACTAAGTGGCTACTAAAAAGACTGGACATACCCCATATTGAATACCCTGGGTTGTCTACTTTAAAAAAAATATGTACATGTGGGGTGTTATTCAGAGATTTATAACAGATAATAGTGTTACAATGTCACTATTGATAAATTTTAAAAATGTATGTTTTGAAACCGCAATATCCTACTTGTACCTATAGCCCTATAACATGCAAAAAAAAAGCAAAAAAGCACGTAAACACTAGGTATTTTTAAACTCAGGACAAAAATTTTGAATCTATTTAGCAGTTTTTTTCATTCGCTTTTGTAGATGAATAAAAGATTTTTCAAGTAAAAGTCAAAAAACATGTATTTTTTTCAATTTTTCATCATATTTTTTAATTTTTTTTAAATTAAAATACATGAGATTATATAAATAATGGTATGTAAAGAAAGCCCCTTTTGTCCTGAAAAAACAATATATAATTTGTATGGGAACAGTAAATGAGAAAGCGGAAAATTACAGCCAAACACAAACACCACAAAAGTGTAAAAATATGCCTGGTCGCAAATGTACAACATCGCAAAAACAGTCCAGTCCTTAAGGGGTTAAAATATATACATCAGCCTAGTTAGAATGTACAGTAACACATGAAATGTACATTATTTTTGAAACTACAAAATAGATCAGCATATTTGTTAAATATTAGTTAATAGTGCACAGATACGGTCCTTAAGTTAGAAGATAGAGATGGTGCTATTAAACTAGTAGTACTCTGTAGCTTGTTATCACCTATTAACAACTTGGAACGTTTCTCACCGCAGTGTTCTAATTGTTGGTCTGGGTGGCCGCAATTCCTATGGACAACCACGAGGTGGCGGCCATCTTGTTCGCATGAACACTGGCAGCGGTGTTTGGGCATGAATCTTATGGAACTAAAAATCACACACAAACTCCTGAACACCGCTGGACTTCCATCATTGCCTGCATTCGGTTCTTTTCAACTTAGAAGAGCACTGTTCGGTGAAATCATTCGTCTGGATGAGGGGAACAAGCTCCACGGTAAGACTATTGACTCTGTTTGGTGGCTTGTTAGTTAGTCAAATAGAATTCCATAGAATTCCTGAACCCCAGAACTGATCTGGGTGATTTTCGGATATGTTGGTCAACCAGATCAGGGCTATCAGGGGCTGTAACATGTGTTGTGGGGATATTATGTGTTTTTGGGGTACTTTTGGGGTTTTATAAAAATATGTAGTTTTTCTGTCTGGACATATTTGAGTTAATACAGTATAACTCAATTAAGGGGGGAGGGATTGTTTGCAATGTGTAGGAGTGTCATGCATCGTAACACTGTTATTATTGGTCTGTGACTTTGCACCGTAGTTCCCCACAAGGTCCATGTGGGAGTGCCCCTTGCATGGTGACTGTCATAAAAGACCAAGTGTGGCACCATTAAAAGCAGTTCTTCTTCACCCTCAACATAGAGCCTCGTCTCATGTGTGCAGGGGACCGCTATATTCACCCTGGGGATTGCTATACTCATTATACTCCCTTGGATTATAATTGCTAGCTCTTATAAGAGCTGTTCCTGCTACAGTCTCTGGAGTAGGAGAGGTTCACCCACTGGAAGCTGTATCCTGGTCTTGGTTCCACAGTGGGTGGAGGACGGCGAGACCCCAACCAAGCTGCAGTGGTTTGTGGAGTCTACGGTCCTGATGGTGTCTGGTGGAGATCTTGGAGTCCTCGGTGAGCACTAGGAGCATCGATTGGCGGAGGCACCCAGTCAAGGGTGCCAGGCGGTCCGTCACATAAGCTGATCACCTGCCATCTTCATTAAACTACAATTAGGTCAGGAAATATTTGGGCACAGACACAAGTTTTGTTATTTTGACTGTTTTGAAAAATAAATTCAAGTTACAGTTAAATAATTAATATGGGCTTAAAGTGCAGTCTCTCAGCTTTAATTTAAAGGTATTCACATCTGTCATGATCTTGTGTAGGTCAGGGATGAGAATGAAACTGGGGTTAGCTTCAGTGTTTTTATTTGCAATCGTAGACATTATAGTATTAGCAGGATATCCCATAATTGAAGTTAGGCTATGAAATAAAGGGTTTAGACAATAAGCCCAAAGTGGAAATAAAGTAAACCTATAAATAAAGTTATAGGTAGGAGATTGAAGATAAACTTATAAGAGAAATTATAGGTACAATCTTGAGGGAAAACAGAATTTAGGCAATATGCCCCAGAACAGGATATAAAGAAACAGGGGAACCTATAAGAGAGAAAGGTAAAGCTAGAGAATGAGATAATAAGTTACAGGAAAGCAAACAGCTACTAAACAGAACTAGACAAAAATATAAAGATTATTTAGGTTACAAAGATTATATTAGGTTTGTAGTTGTTCAGTCACTTTGGATTAGAGGTCGTACTGTAGTAGCAGGTCTTTTATGATAGATACCAATATAATCTGGAATATTTGTAAATCCAATGTGGGAGTAATGCAGGTAGCCACAAAAGTATTAATAAAAGAAAGTCCAGTATAGATTTAAGCAAGTTGGATGTCAAGCAGGAATTTAGGGTTGTTCAGGCTGGTATGGTGTAGGTTTGTAGATAGAGCAGGAATGTAGAGTTGCTCAGGCAAGCAGAGCCGGACTGGGGATACAAAGCAGCCCTGGAAAAAAAATTTGTGCCAGCCCCATAAGTCACTGCGCCATATATTGTCGCGTGTAATATGCTATGTCTTGCCAGGACAGATGATTGAGTAATATATATATATATATATATTGCTTTTTCTAATATAAAATATTGGTCCTTTCAGGGTAAAACGTTTAATTATACAGTAAGCATACGCACATGCAGACACAGGCAATTTCACTGACATTTCAGTGACACACACAAGCTCATTGATACACAGCCTCATAGACAAACAATCTTACTGATATACATCAGTTCATTGACATAAAAACACAAGCTCACTCACTAGCAGGCACACGCATGCAAGCAAGCTCACTCACTAGCAGACGCACACACACAGCTTAATGTGGTGGTACTGGTGTCTATAGCATGTCCCTACAGGCTTTTCAACGTAAACACTGACTTTTCAGAGAAAAGGCAGTGTTTACATTGCTTCAAAGTGACACTGCTAGTGACAGTCACTCAGACGGTCACTAGAGGTGATCCTTGTGTCAGTGCACCTACATTCAGGGCCTCCACACTCTGTAGCTGCTGAACGTTCCCATAGATATACATTGATTCAATGCATCTCTATGAGGAGATGCTGATTGGAGTGGCATTTTGCAGCCAATCATATGGCAAAGCATTGGATTGGCTGAGTTCATCAAGCTTGATGATCTCAGCTATAGAGGCAGGGCCAGTCGAGGGGAGACCAGCATGCTGCGTAGGGAAAAAAAAATGAGCAAAAACACTATTTTTAAACACCCATATACACCATGACAGACACAGATACACACCCCATGACACACACACACCATGACAGACCATGACACAGACAGACCCACACACACACACACACCATGACACAGACAGACAGACACAGACCCACACACACAGACCCACACAGACCCACACACACACACACCATGACACACACACACCATGACACAGACACACACACACCATGACACAGACACACACACACCATGACACAGACAGACAGACACACACACCATGACACAGACAGACAGACAGACACACACACCATGACGGACGGACAGACAGACACACACACCATGACGGACGGACAGACGGACACACCATGACCGACAAACTCACACTGACACACATTACTAATACCTGCCAGGGGGAGGTCTTCTGGCGGGCGCTGCGCTGTCTCTGCTCTCCCGCCCTTGCGCGCTGCTGAATGAGACCGGGCCGGAATATTCCAGCACCGGTCTCATTCAGCTGTGCGCTGGGGAGCAGAGACAGCGCAGCTCCGCCAGTACAAGTCCCCCAGCGGCCGCCTTATAATATGGTTAATCCAGCCTCTCATTGACAGCCGCTAGAGGCACTTGCGTGCTTCTCACTGTGAAAATCAGTGAGAAGACGCCAGTGTCCATAGGAAAGCATTGTAAATGCTTTCCTATGAACTGGCTAAATACGTGCGCGCGGCTCATGACGTCGCTATGGAGGAGGAGATGAGGAGGAGAGCACCCCGCCCGGCGCTGGAGAAAGGTAAGATTTTAACCCCTTCCTCTCCCCAGAGCCCGGCGGGAGGGGGACCCTGAGGCTGGGGGCACCCTCAGGACACTATAGTGCCAGGAAAACGAGTATGTTTTCCTGGCACTATAGTGGTCCTTTAAGATTACACTCTGAATGTGGTTGTTATACAGTCCATTTCTTGAGAAGCAAAATGCAAACACAATATGCACATGTAATAAAAGTTTAAAGATGCTGGAATGAAGGTGGAAGGTTAGTTGTATGAAGATCCTTAGAGGTAAACTTTAGATTTAGTTATGTTTGTATCAAATTAAATTGTCTGCAAGTTAAAATCTCCAAGCAAGGGGATAAATGGGTACCTGGATGTAAAAAGAGAAAAAAGGTAAGGAAAAACTAAAGCTGGACAAACAGGGCTGTATGCTACACTAGCAGATTTGTGGAAACATTGTAAATCTTAATCCCAAAAATATGTTTAGGCCAACAACCAAGCTTTTTAAGGTTAAAGACAACCCCTCTTTTGGACCACCGCCTATATCCGATTTCCTTCTTTCCTCTACTTTCTGCCACTGTTATCTTTGTTTATTTTCTTCTAAATCTGATTGTTTAGAATACATAGCTGTCTATTACAAGCTGTCATGATTCTGTCTGTCTGCCAGGTTGAGCAAGAGAAGTTGGATAAAGTGTGGCCTAGACTACGTGTTCTGGCTCGATCGTCACCTACTGATAAGCATACTTTGGTAAAAGGTAAAACTATGTTGTATATACAAAATACTGCATTACTTTAGCTTTTCCTAGAGACAGATTGATAGTGTGTCTTTGTTGCAGGCATCATTGACAGCACAGTAGAAGAGACAAGACAAGTAGTAGCAGTGACAGGAGATGGTACCAATGACGGACCAGCGCTTAAGAAGGCAGATGTTGGATTCGCTATGGTATGTTAGAATTCCATGATAACTTTATTGTATATTTTAAAATAAGTAATTCGGTCTTATGTCTTGATAGTTCTCCCCAGTTTCCAGTGGTTAATGTCTTATAATTTGCTCTTTCCATCAGAGAGCAAGGACTCAAAATGTTTTTTTTCTCTGACAGGGCATTGCTGGCACAGATGTGGCAAAAGAGGCTTCGGACATCATCCTGACGGACGATAACTTTACGAGCATTGTGAAAGCAGTCATGTGGGGTCGCAATGTATATGATAGCATTTCCAAATTTCTGCAGTTTCAGCTGACTGTTAATGTGGTGGCAGTGATTGTGGCATTCACCGGAGCATGTATCACCCAGGCAAGTGATAGCCTTTAATATGTTTTCTATTTTAACCAAACTCATGTGAATTCAAATATTCACATTCACTATTTTAAATACATTCCAAAGCATCATCATTGCAATTTTTGCATAAAATCAGTCTGGCGGCAGCATTCATTACTGACTGTCAATGGGCAGTACAACTTCTAAAAAGAACAACTAGGAGATTACTAGAACATAAACAAGCTCTTAGTAGCGTCTTGTGTAAGAAAGGGGAGGATGTGGGCAATGTTTTTAAAGTGAAATCGACAGAATTTGGTAACAGATTGGATGTTAGGCTTAAAGGTGAGGCCAGAATCAAATATAACGCCAAGACAGCGTGCTTGCAAGGATGGGCTAATGTGGGTGCCACTAACTTGAAGGGAGAACAAAAGAGGAGGATTAGGAGGAGGAAAGACAAGAAGCTCCGTTTGAGAGATTGAGTTTCAGAAAGAGAAATTAAAGGTGACCAAGAACAGAGTCTTGGGGGACTCCAAACGAGACAAGATGAAGGAAGGGGAGGTATCATTAGAAAAGGAGACACTAAATGAGCGTGTCTGATGCATTGTACCATTTTGCGTTCTGCATCAAGTTATCCATGATAACATACTACATAAAGTAATTTAGGCATTCTGTAGTTAAAACAGTGTTGAGAAAAAAAAATCCTTATTTCTTAGAACTGACTATGAACTGCTAAGATAAAAGGTAAAAATGACCATGTACTTGTCTCATTTTATGCCTTATACCATTTTATTGTAAAATGGTTCTGTAGATAATGCATTGTGTATAGTGTCATCAAACCAGGACAATAGTATCCTGCATGTATCCTTATGCGCCATCTCTCCTGCAATGTATTGTGCCATTCTTCTCCACTCCACATGATTCTAAATTAGAATGCCTCACTATAAATCTCCTCTTTTGATTTTATCTAATGTACTTTTTTTTTGTCTCAATTTCTTTTTTGTGGTTGACAACCAGGGGAGGTGGAGTTACCACAAAATAACTGATTCCATTATTTCAGTCTGGCTCCCTTTCAAATGTTTGAATATAGATGAAAGGGACACTCAATATACCAAAAGTGCAATAACTCATTTAATGGCACATTGTAGATCAAATACATTGATTTGTGTAAAATGTATACATGTCTTGTATTAAATTTCCAACTCCTTTCCTGTTTTGGCCATGAGAAAGACAGGAAACTGTTTCTCTGAATCCTCAACTAGTACTTCATTCAGTTAAAAAAGAAAAACTAATTGAAAACCACTAAAGAAAGTTGACGGAGCTCTACAGCTCCATACGAGAGATAAGTTTAAAAAATCTGTGTTCATTAAATTTTGGAGACCAGGAATTGAACAGCTTTCTGCCAATTCCTAGTTTCAGTAGATCAGATCAAAACCTAGCGCCTGGTGGGTCCCTGCTCAGATCTAAAGCTTAACCCCTTAAGGACCAAACTTGTGGAATAAAAGGGAATCGTGACATGTCACACATGTCATGTGCCCTTAGGGGGTTAAGTTCATATTGCTGTTACGAAGAGAACCTAGGCAATTTGCATTTCTGACTGATTCCACCCGAAAGGATGGGTCCAGCTCCAAAATGCAGGCCGGCTCCTCTGCATAAGAGCTACAGCAACCCAACATTTTTGAGACCTGAGCGGGGACAAAAAAGGGTAAACTATTGAATTTGAGCTTTTATTTTTCTTTCCCAGAATCCTCATATTCTCTGTTTTTGTTGCAATGCAATTTGTTAGGGCACTCCCTAAGCAAAAATGGCAATCCAGACATAGAACTCATGCTCACTGTGCCTAAAGTGGTATCATCTACACTTTTTTGTCAAAACGATCATCTGGGGTTGCTGTATCTCTCGTGCAGTGAGAATTTGCCAGCATTTTTAATAAAAAGGACACTTGGCTAAAAATGGAGGTAAAACTAAGTTTAAAAAAAATATCTTTCACTTAATGTTTCAGTATCTGATCTACTGAAACCAGAAATTAGAAAGTTCTGGGTTGCCTTTATGGGTGGGGTCAGTCTTATATGCAAATAGTATAGGTACTCTTTGTAATGGCACCAGTGAGCAAAAACCTTTTCAAGACTTGAGCGGGGACTAACTGAAGGGCAAACTATTGCATTTATCCAAGCGTTTGCCTGTTCTCATAGTAATCATTCTCTGTTTTTGTTATTAAGATGTTAAGATTGGTTTTTTTTTTTTTGTTGTTTTTTTTTTATATATATTTATTTACATTAACCCTATTTGGTGCAGGATTCTCCACTAAAGGCTGTACAAATGCTGTGGGTCAACCTGATCATGGACACATTTGCATCTCTGGCCCTAGCAACAGAACCTCCTACTCAGTCACTGCTCCTACGCAAACCATATGGACGCAACAAACCACTTATCTCTCGCACCATGATGAAGAACATACTAGGACATGCTGTATATCAACTGACTATCATCTTCACTCTGCTTTTTGCAGGTTAGAAATATACTTTGAATCTTGGTCCTCTTGGGATAATGTTCCTATTCCAAGTACTCATCATTACTAGAAAGGTTTTATTTTGATTGATAAGATAGTGTCTATATATAGCAGCCATATAATCATGTTAATATTTTTATTAATGTCCTATTTCAAACCGGTTTTCTTTATGTCGCTTCATTTAATCTGATCTCTACTTAGGTGAGAAGTTTTTCGACATTGACAGTGGAAGGAATGTACCCCTACACTCACCACCTTCAGAGCACTACACTATCGTCTTCAACACATTTGTTATGATGCAGCTGTTTAATGAGATCAATGCTCGCAAGATACATGGAGAGCGCAATGTCTTTGACAGTATCTTCCGTAACCCCATCTTCTGTGCAGTGGTACTGGGTACTTTTGGGGCACAGGTATAAACACGAATATAATTAGTAGAAGTAACTAATGATTTTTCTCTAAAAACTGGATTTGACTCATTCTCAGTATTCCATCTATACTGGCAAATCACTTGGCTTTTCACTTAAAGAGAAACTATAGTGCTAAAAAAAAAAAAAAAAAGTTGTTTTCCGAACACTAAAGTGACCTACAATGACCTCCACCCCCATGGTGCTGGAAGGGTTAAAAATCTTACCTGATTCTTATTGCAATGCGATGTCCCTTTGTGCTGCATCAGGTTCTGCCTCCTCTCCTCCACCGATGTCAGTCGGGGAGGACCTAATGCGCAAGTGCGGCAAGCATCGTGCTGACATTAGGACTACCTGATATGTAAACATTGCTCGGTGCTTTCCTATGGAATTTCAGATGAAGCAGCATGTCCTCGGGCCGAGCGTGAAAGTCGACTATCCACCCGAACGTACCTCTAGTGGCTATCTGGTAGAAAGCCACAAGAGGTGGAGTTAACCCTGCAAGGTAATTATTGCAGTTAATAAATAACTACAATACACCCTGTTGCAAATTATTATGCAAATGATATTTTTCTCATTTAACTAAATAATTGATGTAAATAACAGTCAGCATAATTCTCATTTTATCAACTAATAAGAGTACAATTCAAATTTTATTGAACAAACCTCCTAATGATTACAGTATTTTTTTTAAAACGTAAAAAACCTACAATGCACTGTTCCAAATTATTACGCACAGTAAGTTTCAAAACACTTTTGTGTTTGCAGCATATTTACTGAAATCAAAAGCTATTTCAATCAAACTTATAACAACATTTTAACATAGGACCCCTTATTTGATAGCAGCTTCACAAGTCTTGCATCCATTGAAATTGTGAGTTTTTGGACAGTTTCTGCTTGAATTTGTTTGCAAGATGTCAGAATAGCCTCCCAGAGCTGCTGTTTGGATGTAAACTGCCTCCCACCCTCATAGATCTTTTGCTTGAGGAAGCTCCAAAGGTTCTCAGTAGGATTGAGGTCAGGGGAGGATGGAGGCCACACCATGACTTTCTCTCATTTTATCCCCATAGCAGCCATTGATGCTGAGGTATTCTTTGCAGCATGAGATGGTGCATTGTCATGCATGAAGATGATTTTATTAAGGAAAGCATAGTTCTTCCTTCTGTACCAGGGAAGAAAGTGGTCAGTCAGAAACTCCACATACTTTGCAGAGGTCATCTTTACACCTTCAGGGACCCCAAAGGGGCCGACCAGCTCTCTTCCCATGATTCCGACCCAAAACATGACTCCACCACCGCCTTGCTGACGTCGCAGACTTTTCCACCAACCATCCACTACTCCATCCATCTGGACCATCCAGGGTTGCACGGCACTCATCAGTGAACAGGACTGTTTGAAAATTAGTCTTCATATTTTTTTCTGCCCAATGCAGCCGTTTCTGCTTGTGAGCATTGGTTAGTGGTGGCCGAATAGAAGGTTTATGCACAGTTACAAGACTCTGAAGGACTCTACACCTTGATGTCAGTGGGACTCCAGAGGCACCAGCAGCTTCAAAAATCTGTTTGCTGCTATGTAATGGTATTTTAGCAGCTGCTCACTTGATCAGATGCATGGATCTGGCAGAAATCTTCCTCAATGTGCCTTTATCTGCACAAACCCGTCTGTGCTCTGAATCAGCCACAAATCTCTTAATAGTGCAATGATCATGCTTAAGTTTTCGTGAAATATCTAATGTTTTCATACCTCATCCAAAGCATTGAACTATTTCACTGTTTTCGGCAGCAGAGAGATTCTTTTTCTTCCCCATATTGCATGAAAATGGAGCTCTGTTTAATAATGTTGAACACCCTCCTTTAGTAGTTTTTCCTTAAGTTGGCCTCACCTGGCAATCTAATTATCACAGGTGTCAGAGATTGTTTTCAGTGATCAAAAGAGCCCTGAGATGCCATCCATGAGTTAAACTGAAAAACAGAATATTTAATCTTTGTGACACTTAAATAGAATTTGCATAATAATTTGGAACAGGGTGTAATTACAATTGCAGGGTTAAGGGGACAGTGCACCCAGACCACTTCCATAAGCTGAAGTGGTATGGGTGCCTATAGTGTCCTTGTATTGTCTCTGCATTGTAGTATGTGGTTTTTTTTTTGTTTGTTTTTTTGTGTGTGTCTCTTTAATTTGTCAACTTCTCCTTGATTACAGATCATAATTGTAGAATTTGGAGGAAAGCCATTCAGCTGTTCGGGCCTCACTCTGTCTCAGTGGTTCTGGTGCATATTTATTGGAGTTGGAGAGCTGCTTTGGGGTCAGGTGAGTCTATCTTCTCTTCATTTTTTTCCTTCTAAAGTTTCTTTGTTTACATATGGTACATCATCAAATATCTTCCTTGTATATCCAACTAGTTTCTAACGCAGAAATTATTATTTTTTTTTTTTTTTTTTTTTTTTTTTTTACAGAAACCAAAATAATATTCTTGGTGCTCATTTTTCAAATGTAAGATTAGTTCACTGATCAAGTTTACATAGCAATATATAAAACAAGAAAGTATAAATTCATTAGATTCGTATGCATCAAAGAGATCTCCACTGCTTTTTTTGAGGTGTATGCATCTGAGGTTTGGTGGGTTGTTTTTCTTTGTTGTTGGCGTTTTTTTTTTTTTTTGTCCAAATGATGGCATGACATTCTCAATTTGAGTCTACATACAAGCTTTAAAAATTATTGCTCCAAAACTTCTCCGCTTCTTTTTTCATCTTCATTGTTTTTCATATATCCCCTGACACTCTTCTCCTTGCAGTTGATTTCTTCAGTCCCCACCAGCCGACTCAAGTTTTTGAAATCGGCTGGTCATGGTCCAATGAAAGAAGACCTTCAGCATGAGGAGCTCCAAGACGGCACGGATGAAATAGACCATGGAGAGATGGAGCTAAGGAGAGGCCAAATCCTATGGTTCAGAGGTCTGAACCGCATACAGACGCAGGTACGTTCTATATTTGAGCCATTTACCACTTTTTTTTTTTTTTTTTTAGCACCTCATACCACCACAGATGTCCGGCCAATTGCTTTTTTTTTAATAAGCTTTTTCAATGCATCACACAGATGAACTATGAACTTGTTCCATAGATTACCGGTCTTGCAGTAATAGGCCAGAAATCTCTGAATCTGTTGAAGTAAAATCCCTGACTTGTCATTTTGCTTAACAGCTGAGCCAAAAAGATATTTTGTATACATGAAACATAAAATATTATAGTAAATGGCTCCGAGCAGTCAGTACAAAGTTAAAGGACCACTCTAGGCACCCAGACCACTTCACCTTAATGAAGCGGTCTGGGTGCCAGGTCCAGCTAGGGTTAACCCATTTTTTTATAAACATAGCAGTTTCAGAGAAACTGCTATGTTTATAAATGGGTTAATCAAGCCCTCAAATCCTCTAGTGGCTGTCTCGGAGGCGGAGAGCTCCCCGCCCGGCACGGGAGAAAGGTAAGATTTAACCCTTTCCTCTCCCCAGAGCCTGGCGGGAGGGGGACCCTGAGGGTGGGGTATATTTTCCTGGCACTATAGTGGTGCTTTAACCCCTTAAGGACTGGACTGTTTTTGCGATGTTGTACATTTGCGACCAGGCATATTTTTACACTTTTGTGGTGTTTGTGTTTGGCTGGAATTTTCCGCTCTCTCATTTACTGTTCCCATACAAATTATATATTGTTTTTTTCAGGACAAAAGGGGCTTTCTTTACATACCATTATTTATATAATCTCATGTATTTTAATTTAAAAAAAATAAAAAAATATGATGAAAAATTGAAAAAATACATGTTTTTTTACTTTTACTTGAAAAATCTTTTACTCATCTACAAAAGCGAATTAAAAAAAACTGCTAAATAGATTCAAAATTTTGTCCTGAGTTTAAAAATACCCCGTGTTTACATGCTTTTTTGCTTTTTTTTGCATGTTATAGGGCTATAGGTACAAGTAGAATATTGCGGTTTCAAAACATAAATTTTTAAAATTTATCAATAGTGACATTGTAACACTATTATCTGTCATAAATCTCTGAATAACACCCCACATGTACATATTTTTTTTAAAGTAGACAACCCAGGGTATTCAATATGGGGTATGTCCAGTCTTTTTTAGTAGCCACTTAGTCGAAAACACTGGCCAAAGTAAGCATTCATATTTGTTTGTGTGTGAAAAAAGTAAAAAAACTAAATTGAGCGCTAATTTTGGCCAGTGTTTGTGACCAAGTGGTTACTAAAAAAGACTGGACATACCCCATTTGCAATACCTTGGGTTGTCTTCTTTTGCAAATGGTATGCCATCATGGGGGTAATTCTCATTCCTGGGCTACCATACGCTCTCAAAGGCAACGTAACCAACCTGGCCATTTTCAATGTAAAAATATTTGACCCATATATTTGACCTTGTAACTTTAAAAAATACTATAAAACCTGTACATGGGGGGTACTGTTTTACTCAGGAGACTTTGCTGAACACAAATATTAGTGTTTAAAAACTGGAAAACGTATCACAACAATTATATCATCAGTAAAAGTGCTGTTTGTGTGTGAAAAATGCAAAAAAAGTCACTTTCACTGACAATATCATCGCTGTGATATGTTTTACTGTTTTGAATCACTAATATTTGTGTTCAGCGAAGTCTCCCGAGTAAAACAGTACCCCCCATGTACAGGTTTTAGGGTGTCGTAGAACGTTACAGGGTAAAATACAGTGCTAGCAAATTCAATTCTCTGGAATTTCGGCCTGGGTTGGCAGGCAGGTCCCTTAAATTGCAATCAATAAAATTACTGAATTATGTAAAACTATTACATAAATACGCACGTAGAATTTAAATATATATGCATATTTATATATTTGAAGTCTACGTGTATATTTATATAATTATTTATGTAATTTTGTATATGGACATATGTATATTTCTTATTATTTTTATTTATTTTTATATACATAGATATATATACAAATTCATTCTAAGTGTATTTTGATATAAATATATATATATTAATTTTAAAATACAGTTAGAATAAAATTTCATATAGATATATAATTTTTTTTATTTTTTTATTATTATTTTAAATTTTTTTTATTTAATTTAAATTACTTATTATTTATATTTTATAATAATATATATATACAATATATATAGTTATTATATATATTATATATATACGTGTGTAATTTAATTATAAGTGTATTTTTATATTAATATATGTACATATTAATATAAAAATACACTTAGTATGACATTATATATATGATATATAGACATATATTATATAGATATATTATATGTCTATATATCATATTTATATACACATATATCATTTTTTTATTTATTATTAACATTAACTTTATTTTTTTTAATGATTTTACACTAGCAGGGAGACTGCCTGTCAGCACAGACAGTCCCCCTGCAGGCAGCACTATGGACACCTATTGTGACCATGTGATCGCTGTGTTGAGCGATCACATGGCCACAGGGGTCCTAATTCAGTGTGGGGAGACTGTCTGGGCTGCAGGCAGTCTCCCCCCACCGGGAGCCACGCTGATCGTCGCCGGGGGAACGACGGCGATCAGGTAAGTACCCCCAGACCGTTAGGACGGTTCAGGACCGTCATCGGTCCTCAAGGCAAAAATGCCGATGACGGTCCTGAACCGTCCTCGGTCACTAAGGGGTTAAGCATGTGTTAGACATCCGCATTCCCATCATTACTAGTTTCTCTATATAAATATTTTCGTTGCCGCACAATTTTAAATTTACAAAGATATTCACTAGACCCTAATTTTTAGGTAACAAAGAAAAAAATTCTAAGTTTTGGAAATAAGCCTGTGAAATAGATCTTTGCACAATGCATCACCCAAATCTGTATGTTTATACTTTTTATTTTCAAACAAATGTAGGTTGTCTTTTTTTTTTTTTTGGTAAATTTTGTGTTTACTGGGGAGTTGTTTTTTTGTTGTTTTTGGTTTGGTTTTTTTTACATCTCCATATATTTGTAAACAGTACACCACTGATGTTCTATAAATGTGTTTGTTTTTATTTTTTTTAAACTTTGAGGATTCAAGGATTACAGAGTCACAAAAAACAACAACTTTATTTACAATGCTTTATTCTATTTTGTTTATTTGTTTTTATTTGTTCTCACATTGACAACAAAAGGGCTAAATTTGGTATCTTAATTAAAGTTAGTGGGAATATCAGCCATTTCCCAAAACTCAGTGAGAATTGCTATTTAATAGTCTATGTTTTCTTAATATTACAATGCAATAAAGATTGTTAATTAAGGGATCTGGATGATATTAGGAGGATGACTTTCTTCTGGATAAGATCCCACCGCTTTAACAAGTGAATCTAGATACGTTGGTTTGATGGAATTTGTACTACACAGCTATGCTCACCCTTTGAAACTTTGCTTTAAAGGCCTGCTGGTATCTTACTGTTCTTTCGTCTTTGAGCGATGGGATAACACCATTGTTTTGTTATTCTTTGTTTCAATTTCTCATATATGTTTAAAAGAGTCTTTATTCCATTCTAAACAATCGCTATTTTATATGGCATTAAAATTTCTTTCCTCTATTTGCCCCTAATGTGTCCCATTTTCTAAGTCTCCGCCTTACTGTGATTTTTATTTATCACTCTTTATCATGAAATATGATGATCTTAATATATCTTGCTCATTTCCCTCTCTTCTCTCATTTTCTGTATCCTTCCTCCTCTTTCTGACTTTAGTGTGTCTCCCTCTGATTCCTTACAGATGGACGTAGTTTATACATTCCAGACGGGCGGTACCTCTTTACAAGGGGCTTTGAGGCGCCAGCCTTCCACCATTAGCCAGCACCTCGATGCTAAACATGTCTCTAGCCCAACACACGTAGCTCTCTCCTCTGCTACCTCTCCCCCAGCCACTTCTGCTGCTGCTACTTCTGTGGGCAGTGAGTTCAACACTATTACAATGCATGCTGTGCACTTCGGCTGCTGGTCACTGCTCTATCTGTCTGTTTCTTAACACTGTCCCTTTCCAAATAACTTAATCATCTAACAAAGGCACGGATTTGACCCACCCTGGTGATGGGGAACTTTTCTTTCCTTTTTTTTTTTTTGTATCTTTTTTTTTTTTACATTTATTCTTTTAAGTTTATTTTTGTTTGTTTGTTTTTTTCTTTCTTCTTTTCTTTGCAGGTGGCAGACCCGCTTACATAAACACTGCAAAAGCACACTTTTAATAGGGAATAATGTCCTAGTGCAGTAAAACAAGGCAAAATGTAACATTCCAGTTTTCATTAAAATTAGTCATTTCAGATGATTAGGGAGTTAGTATTTATTTTGGTTTATTTTTCTGTTTATAGCACAGTCCCGGTACAACCTAAGAATTATTTTGGGTATTTGAGATAAGTACATTTATCCAAATAAATATATACCCAAATAATGTGGCCAATGTCAGGCGGCTATAGGAAAAAAAGCACAGGACATTTAAATAGATGAAGGTATCCTCTATTACAGCCAACAAATAGGTGAAATTACACCAAATAGTGTAGAGTTTCCAAGACTGGGTCAAAAGTGTTGCCTTTTTGGCCTTATTAAAGAATCCATCTATTTACTGTGAAGTTTGTGCTGCTAATTTTTTAGCACTGGTCTCCCGTTCTGATTTCCATCGGCTATTGCCTTCAGCATCGAAAGGCTGGTATTCAAAAATATAGTAAAAAAATATATTAAAATATGTGCAATGGTCCAATGGTAGCAACATGTAAGGGATCTGCACTAAAAATCAGTGGGTAAAAATTGTTGTTTTATTGTACCCATGTCATATTTGTCGTATTTAGTGTTTTGCCTCTTTATAAATTATTGACAAAACTCCACCTAGAAAATGCTTAGCCATTTTTGTTATCACTTCCAAAAAATAACATGATGGAACTGTGAATTGAAAATGTTGAGGCATGCTACATAATCATTTCCAATGCAGATTTTAGTCTAGAAAGTTTAGAAAATAATATATATACAGAAGGCTGTTTGGTCACCTGTTCATTAACAGGACTGTACAAAGGACACATGACTTAAGGAGTTTTCTCCTGTAACGGTGCAACGGCTGCTGTCAAAAAAACATATGTCATAAAGAATAAAGATATAATCCACTCACGAGAGAGGCTGTCATACTATACATGCTTTAAAAAGGACCAGATGTTTTGTTTTTTCCCCAAATTTTTATCGAAGCTTACTAGGAACAAGTAATGTGAGAATTAATTAGGTAATCAAAATTAGTTAATTTAAAGTTTTAACTACCAAAATCTTGTTTTTGTACCCTTGCTATTAAATGCATAGGTAACACTAATAATTTTTATTTATTTTGCATTCATTATGCACGCAGCTTTGGTTTCCCTTTTATGCTTAGCATTGATGCAATACCGACACACTGTGGCAATAACTGAGTACGGTTCTGCTATAAACCTTGTACTAACACATCGGCAATGCTTCTTTCAGCATTAATTCAACATCAAATTTCACAGGCATCTTGGATTCATGTATATCTTTACTATGGAGATTGTTCCTTAAAAAAAAAACTTGTGTCCTGCAAAAATATTTAATCCCAGTTGCGCCACAGTGCAGTTTCAATATTTGGCTGAATGTCTGCATGGGAATGTAATGATGCCTGCAATATGTGCATGCTTGCTAGTCTAGTGTGGTTCTGATTATTGTGTGATGTGCAGATTAAAGGTGCAGACCCTCTTATAACCAAACATGTCCTTTGCAAACTTGTTCACTTACTTCATTGTGGATATTTATAACTTATCAGGTGGCTGATTTTTATTTTGGGGCAAGAGGGAAAAAAAAGGAAGAACATCACTTATTCGTGTTAATAAATTGTTTAATGTATGTAGGCATAAAGAGAGAAGCTTTTTTGCCATAATAAAAATCAGCACCCATTGTACTGGCTTTCCACCTGCAGTTTCCCTTTCAGTGAGAGGGCTACACGTGGATGTCTTTCTTATAGCTTCTCATCCTTTAAATCTGAGAAAAGGATGTTGTGATTATAACTGTGAATTCTAAGAGCTGACTGGGACTGCAACTTTGATGCTTGACTGTATATACATTGGTGGTTTGAGGATTTTCTCATGCCAAAGCTATCTCTATCCTTATGTGGTATGACTGTGTTTTCAGTGCACAGATTTATTTTGAATTTGTGTTTGGAGGGCAAAATTGCCTTGATTTGTTTTGTTTTTGATGGATTTGTATTCTGTGTGGTTTTGTGATTTTGATTTTGTTTTTTTGTGTCATGGATTTTATTTTTATTTTAAAATGCTCATTTTGAATTAATCCATTAATCCCTTCCTATCAAAACATTTCAAAAAACCTATTAAAATAACAAAAACACAAAAAAATCTCTTCAGGGTGCTGTTCTTGATGTCATGAAAAAAGCTGCTGCCCAAAATATCATTTTATTTCACTCTCTCTGATCGAAGTCTCAGACCAGCGAAGATTCACCTGCAATCTTTTTAAATTCCATTTGTTATTTATGTTTACTTATTTTTATTTGTCCAGTGGGTGCCAAGAAACTATTCTTCTCTTTGTATATTTCTGTTCTCTTTCTTCCACTTTTGTTACATTCCCACTTTCCTCTTCTGTTTCTCTCATTTCTGTCTTCTAACCTTGCTCCTTCAGTCCTCTAATCGCTGTAAGTCTCTGAAGCACTCTTCCATTATCTCCTTAACCTGTTGCCTCCCCCATTAATACTTTCTTCTTCTTTTACCCAAAACAGATTAAAGTGGTGAATGCGTTCCGCAGCTCCCTGTATGAGGGGCTGGAGAAGCCACAGAACCGCAGTGCCATCCATAGCTTCATGACTTACCCGGAGGCGGGATCTGCCCCCTCGCTCACAGACAGCGACAGCGAGGGTGAGGAATCTCGGGGTCTCCTTAAAGGACGCGACGACCAGACGCACAACCATAACAACAACTCCTCTACAGAACAGCGTCCACTGGATATCACAGTGTCGCCATATGAAAGCCCCATGCACAGCGTGGAGACCTCCATTTGACACCAAACTTAAAGCCCTCCCCAGCTGGGTATCTCTGAGGTCACCGCTCCCACCCCTGCTGTCCTGTTCTCTCGCTACCCTTTCCCCATTACATCTCAGTCATCCACTCATTCTCATCGGATTCAGAGCCAAATGCAGACTTTCTTCATACAATATGCCACATGTCAAATTCAGCAAGACTTAAATGAACACATATAGACCACTTTTTTTTTTCTTCTCACGTGTACCATCCCACACTTTGTCTATATGTGCACACTGCTTTAAAGTTCGCAACAATCATGTACCATATTTTCTGTAAAAATACAATAACAAAAAATACCGCTATAAACAGTATTCATTTAAACATTAACACAGAGCAGAGAGTAAGAAAGCAATTACAGTATAAATTCAATTACCAGTTCTGTGTATATGTAAAAATAGTCTCTTCTCGTACAATCATTGCATTCTATTTCTCACTAATACTACAGCCATAAGGTACAACAAAAATATATTTTACGTGTATTGCAACCTTCAAGAATAGTCACGCAAATGATCTTCTTAATACTCAAGTATTTGATCATGTATTCCTTTTTACATCTATTTACACTTGCTCTTGTTAATATGTTCATAGTCCGCGCATGAGTGTTTTTTTCCTCTATACCTTCCAACTCTGTTTGTCCTTCTTGTCTTGTATGTATGCATGTAATAGCACTGCTTTTCCTAACTCTTGTCTCCTGAAAACACTAAACCCCTGCTTGTTCCTCTCCCACTGTAACCCCCACCCCGACACCCCATCCTGTGCCAATGACAGTGGAGCTGGGAAAGGGATCCTATTTCCAATCAGTGTGCCACACCTTATTACTTCATCCAACAATGGCGCATATTGCACCTGTCTTCCACTTGTAGGATGCTTCACCCCTCACCCCCCAAAAGCCACCCTTTTGTCGCTGAGCTGCGTACTTCTGCAGCCTCCCAAACTGCCACATATCGCCAGACATCAAGGAGTCAACACTGTGCAATATTGCCTTCCTGCCCCAGTACCAGTTTTTGACTTGGAGAAGATAGGGGGTTGGGAAATGTGACATTTCATTGAAAGAGGGTTACACTGCCAGATATGATGCAGGACATGTGTGCAAGATGTTTTATTTATGCATATATAGATAAAACAAAATTGTACGCATGCACCAACACATATACATGGTTTACAATCACTGTTCCTGAAAGAGGGCTAATGAAATTCTGATTTCTAGTTTATGGGAGGGGACATTACTTACTGCTGATGCCCTTCACCTACCTACACAGAACATTTGAAAAGGACACCATGTAACTGGAGAAAAAAAGTCACTGCATGTTGAGCTCCTAATGTATATCAAAAATAATTAGAGTTGGTCACTGCCATGATTTATTTTTGAATTTTGTATTTGACAGGGCTGTTTGCCCAAACAGTACACGCATTCTGCACATGTAAAGGTAATGGGCAGTTCAGTTATGATCCTTTTTTTGCTCTCTTTTCTAAATTGTGTTTTAAAAAAAAAAGCTGAAACGTTTTAGACTTCTTCCGTCTTCTAATGTTGGCGACCAATGTGTGTGCAAACTAACCTTTTTCACTGCCAGAGGGGGGCCATGCAACTTGAAACAAACGGGGTTAAAATCTACCCCTCCAGCTATGTGAGTTGTCTTTTTATCCCTGTCTTGTGCCTTCTTACAGACCGTGCACAACTCTTAATTTAAGTGTTCCTTAAAAGTAGGGCAATAGTAATCGTTACGGTAAGACACATCTTTGCCACTCCTTACAGCTATTATTGCTAGAAGCCCCCGCCCAAATTTCTTAAATTGGTGGTCACACTTTGGTCTCCAGTTGTTACCAACACTAGATCCAAATGATTTCAGTGCTTGGGTTGTTTGGAAGACCCTTATATGATGGGATAGATAAGCCATGAACAAGACATAGGGATAGATTTATTTTGACATAGCCTAATAAGTGTGCATTAAACAATCATTCCAGTGAATAAGCTTTACAGGTTTATTAACCATGCATTTTGTTTAGCAAATCTGGTGTTTGTTTTGGCCACCGTCTATTTAAGTATCCCCTTTCTCCTGGCCATTCAGGGGACACAAAATTTTAAAGCCTTGTTGCTACCATTAACCCTAACACTTATCAAGGAACCTGTGATGCATAGCAGCATGCTTAGCTAATTGTTATTGCTGGTATTGCAAGGATTTGCAGTCTTCTCTATTGCACTTAAGAGGCTTACTACTCAAAACCGATAAGCCGTGGATTTATAAAATGGAATTGCCAAAGTAAAAGCCAGCAATTCCTTTGACAGAAAGCCTGACAGTAAAGGAAATTGGGAACATGTCATTCTAGTACTCTCAGCATGGAATGCATAAGACCAGAAGAATTGGGGAATAGTCTAAGTTGCATATACTTTAAACCTCTAAAGGGTTAACGGTGTGAATAATGTACAGCTGTATGAGCAAAATCTAGAGGCGTGTATTACAGGCCACCTTGCAGATTCTAGGGTTAGTTAGAAAAACTATATATATAGATAGATACTAGTATATTTGTCTTTTGGGGTTTTGTTTTTTAAAGCATTTATAAGTAGTACTGCTTATATTTTGTTTATTTTGGGGTTTGTTTTGGTTGGTATTTTTTTATTTTTTTTTTAGGTTTTAATATGTTGGTGCTGTGTGCACAGAGCATTTGAAAGTGACCAGCAACCAATTGGATTGGTTAAAAAAAAAGCCAATATTGTATCTTTTGTTTCTCATAGCCGGCAGCTCCTCGCTTTATTGATGTGAAGCTGCCACACAGAAATGTTTTTTTATACATACATATAAATATAGATATATAAATTATGTTCATATATGGCAGGTTAACCTGCAGTGTACGCTTTTTATGTGCAAATTTTTTTTATGTAAAATAGTTTTTCTATTTTGTTCAGTGTTGCGTACACAACAGACTTCGAAGTTTTTTGGGTTGTCGGGAGGTGGGAGGGCTGTTTTTAGGAATGTAAAAGATTTAAAAAGAAAAAAAAAAGTTTTTATTGTTATGAGCACTAAGACTTTCAATGCCAAAGATGTTTCTCCACATGCTGCCATGGAAATGAAAGTGGAAGTCTCTGACATTAAAGTCTTTGCAGTGCTAGCACTAGTCTTACAAATAGGAAGTGCCATGTTGGGCAGGGACGTTAGGTGAGCACCATCCTGTACTATGCACTGTGCGTGGATGCTTACAAAGCTTGCTTCAGGATGGGTTATGTAGATTTGCCAACAACAACACACCAATATCTTTCAACATTCCAATCACACAAAATGCAATCCCTTTTCTGGCCACAAGTCAAGAAATCATTCTGACAATAGAAACATGACTTGCTGACCATTTTTGGCTATCAGAGGGAGTTTTGAGTGGCTTTTAGATCTGCCTCATTATGCTTAAGCCAGAGGCAGATGTTTTAACCGAACAGGAGAAAGTCTTAAGGCTGAAACACTACCCACTAACATTTTCATATACGTTCTTAGGATGCTATGCCAGGGATCGCAGCATAATTTAGCATTAACTGCTACTGTGACTAATGCTGAATCATATTGCAATATGCACCTTGTGACTACCAATGCTGTTTTCCATTCAATGCTATAGTTTATGGTCTGGTTTTGCTATTTTATTGTCGTGTTTCCAGAGCATAGGCTTAATAATTGGAAGAAATGCTGGCACTGTCAAGTTTACTTTTGCATTAATTCTAACTTGGCCATAGCATCTTCATTGTACACTTTCTTTTTTTTTTGGTTTGTTTTTTGAGCATGTTAATTCTCATAAATCTGCCTGGTAGATCTCAAGACAAAAAGGCATGTAACTTAATTCTTAAGTAAATGAAAATTAAATCTACAGTTTCTTCAGAAAGGAGTTGCATCATTCTCTGGATATATATAAGATGTTTGCAAGAAAATAATGACTTAGCAGAGAACACACACACAGCTGATTGTGTAGTTTCATCTACCATGTTTCCCTATACCTGTTGTTGCCCCAAATATAGAAAACTAATCTCCAAATCATAGTTCACAAATCGTGTAACCATATCCCCTCCCTCCCACAGAGAGAGCATGCCTTATTAAACTTGGGTTTCAAAACATGTTTTAATTTTTCTTTCAGTAACTGGTTAAATTAAGCACTGTTATTTTGTATAAAACTGACTGAATCAATGCGTTTTGTGGTGTGCATGACATTAAAGAAATAGTGATTTTTTTTTTTTTTTTTTCGTCCATTTGTACTTTGACACATACAAAGCCCTGAACACTGGGGCACAACTACTATATTCTATGTATATGCATTGCGCAATGTAAACATTGTTTCCCTGCCCCATAAAGCCTTTGCATGAAACTCTGATCCCTGGATAAAATATGTAAAACCAACTGAGGAACTGTGATTTCGTTGTAAGATACTGCCACCTAGGGACTCGGATTATTTTTTTGCAGTGTTATACCTTTCGAATCACCGTCCTCAGAAAAGAAATTGAAACACCTGAAATTTTTAGTGACCATGCTTCTGGGACACTAAGAATAAAAATAGTAATCGCATTGTACTGAGTGATGTCCGAAGTATCCTGCCTCATTTTGCTGTCACTATCATTATAGCTATTAAAATGTCTGGTTCCAGGTTGAGCTGGTCACAGGGGTGATATTACAACATGGTAGAAAACTTAACCGTTATGACATGCAATTTTATCAACACACTACACTGATTGAACAGGTTTACTTCTAAGGGATGCTTGATACTTTGGAATCTGCATGTTAACAATTACATACATGAAAAAGCATGGTTCTAGATGTGACATCAAACTCTACAGTCACAACTGTAACTTTTTCCAACTGAGTTCAATCAGGAACACGTTGGTATTGACATGTAGGCTAAATCCTCCTAGAACTTAATTGAAAGCAATTGTGAATGCTCCGTAAACCGTTCATCTCCAATAAGTGGAAGGCTTGACCATGGTGTTGCACATGTACAAATGCTTTTCATTCAT